CTAATTCACTTCGTGAATGAGTATAATAATTCACTTCGTGAATGAGTATAATAAACACAGAAAAGGCAAACGTAAATAGAACATAGAAATATGTCGAAGGGTTTAGTCTGCCAGAATCGACAAATATCCTAGAAAAAGTGAAAATAATAATAGAAGTACAAGGGAGTTGGATTAGCCTTAGACATGACGAAACAATTTGTATAAAAGTATTTTTTTATTATTAAATAAAATTATTATTGTATTATTAATAGTCAAATAAATAACTAAAAAAGAAAAATAATTAAAATTAAATAAATAATAAAAATAAATAGATGTATACAAATATTTAAAAAAAAAATGTCTTATCTAATTATTTAACATTTTCAATACTTCATGCAATTATGATAATAATAAATATACAAAATATCTCTAAAAGAACGTTTATTCAAAGCCCCTGTTAGAACTCGATTTATGCTTAGAGGGTAGAAAAAGTAATGAAAGCATTTCAATATGCACATTCACTTACACACAAATACATGCACATATATTTTAATATATATTTTTGTGCCTGCCTGCATGCGCATATTCAATGGCCATAAATTGTTAAACAAATGTTATATTGTAATCAATATACAGATGCCTCTCTCTCTCTCTGTGTGTGTGTGTGTGTGTGTGTGTGCGTGTGTCAATAATTTATGCGGAAGTCTCGCCCACACAGAAACATGTTGTAATTGTCAATGTAGCAGAGGGGCTTGCGACTTTTTGGAATGAGAATGGGGGCGTGGCGCTCATACTCATATAGTATTCATATCAGCATGAATTTATATCCATGTAGCACTCATTATTTTGCACGAACAATGTTCGAATCTTGTTAATAATTCAATAAAAAAAAAAAAACAACAACAACAACAACAAAAACAACAAACGAAACGTGCGCGAAAGATTTTTCCAATTAAATTGTCAAAAGCAAAATCGAAGCATAAAAATAAAATAATAATGTATATATAGAAAAGTGCTATAAAATACACAGACATTGCGTAATAATTTTCAGGAATTATTTTTGGCCATACGCAAAATTTGTTAACAAAAAAAAAAAAAGAAGAAAAACTAAACTTTTTTATGTGTGGAAAAATTATATTTATGTTCGCGACGTGGCTGGCCTTGTCTGATAGGCCACGCCCCGACGCCCTGACGCCCCGCCGCCCACGCTGTGAATGTGGCACAAATTTTGGCACGATTCTAGCTGATCGATAAATGCATTAAATAGATATACATATATCGAGTCACAGCAATTAGTCTTTGCATATCGCCGATCGCAACCATACGAGATCGGATTTGGTATTCGATTTGAATGCAAGGCAGCAAAATTTGCTCAAATTATATATACATATGTATATGACTATACAATAGATATAAAATGATATGCCAAGATGAAATCAGTTAAACTGAAGGCTGGCAATTGCACTGGGTCTGAATTGTCAGCGCGTTGACATGCTGAATGTTAATGAATCGCATTTGCCAATCGCATTCGATTCAACTTGAACTTGATGAGAGCCAATTGAAATGACTATTTGATTTGCTGTGCAGCAACGGCCGACATTAGGAATTTAACATAACATACTTAGCATATTTAGAGTAACATTTTGGTGCTCAATCTGCAAAACGTTGCTAGATATACAAAACTTTCAGAGTCCCCAACTCTAGGGCAAAAAAAAAAAAAAAAAAAATTATAAATTATGAATCTAATAGACCCTCTTCTCTTCATGAACGATTATAACAACTTAAAAAGTTTCATAATTATGTGAGAGTCTGTTAAATGAGCGAATAAATTAACAGTAGACCAATATGTAACATTAACATATGCATCCACTGTTAATTAGTTACATTTCATGTAAATTCTGTTATTTAAAACATGTAAACAGACTCGGAATGTTAATAGTCTTAACATTAGATTAATATGTAATTACCTGATTCATTCCCACTACATTTTCTGATATTTATACTAATAATAGTTTCATATTTGATTGATATAAATTTTCGTTATTATAGTGTACAAAAATATTTAGCTTTTCGCTTCAGACTTTTCTGTTATTACACAAATATTTGTTCAAGTTCGTTGTTTATTTTGCTTTTTTGTCTAGCTGCAAATTGTATGTAATTAATTTGCACATGATTTGAGCTGATAAATGCGGCTCTATTGTTGTGGTTAACATAATATTCGGCTCGATTCCAGATGTGATTAAGTTTTTACTATGAAATGTCTTTATAAAATCAACTCTGATTGACTCTGCCTAACCGCAGCGGGAAGAAATTATTAGATGACAGCATATATTGTATTGCTTTAACCAGGAACAGTTCAAATGACAGACATTGCCACATATACTATATATATATATATGAGTATATATACACAAATGTATGTGTGTTTATATAGATGATCTGTTGTCAGTACTTAATAAAGACATTCATAAAAGTCATTGTCAATTTCGAATTCTGGCGCATGTTTTGAACTCAATTGGAATTTCAGAGCTTTGGGTAAGGTCAATGCGAATTGCCTAGATATATGCTGAAGATATATACATATGGATGTATGTATATGTATGTGCTTAAATTTGTGTTTATTGAAAGTGTTTGCCGGCTCTTGTGTTTATTTGGTAAATGTTTAAAAATTATTTGTTCTATATGTATTTTGCATAAGCAAATATTTAATTTAGATATGTATATCTACAGATAAATAGAATTCTGTACTCGTCGTACGATTTTCACTAATCTTCGCGCTGTATGTGTTTTTGAGTGCTAAAATTAGCAAAACGCGTGGGTGACTTTAGCATTGACTATGGACAAGGCCTGTGACGTGCTATGAAGGCGTCTAACATAATGCTCATTGTTCGATTTATTTAAAAAAAAATATATATATACACATACATATATACGTATGTATATACTTATATGTATTTTAACAATTGCAGATCCAGCGAGCAACACACAACAAACATGTATGTGCCATCATAGGAGGACAGTGAACATATGTTTTGGAGCAGTATCATAGCCAATAAGTAAAGTCCGGAACTGGAAATTTAAATATATACCTACATATATATATTTATTTATATGTATATATGGACTATAGACAGATGATATACACACTTGTGAGTACTTCTCAAATTTATAATTTATAAAAATTTTGAATGTATTTTAAAACAAAATTTTTTTTATTTATTTATTTTTTTTATACACATATGAAATTTTTTATTTGTTTTTTTTTTTTTTCGTAATTTTTACAATTGTTTTATGTTATCTATATATACATATATTTTTTAAAACTCTAATGTATTCTGTTTTTTAAATTTTTATTTTAATATCCAAGAAAAATGTAGAATTTTGTTTTGTTTTGTAGGTAATATTAATAATATAATTATAATATTATTTATTCATTATTCATTTTATTTTTTATGTAAGTGCATTAAAATATTATTATTTTTATCTATTTTATCTAAAAAAGTTTTTTTATTTGTTTTTATTATTATTAATTTTTTTGTTGTATATATATTTAGAGTCAATTATTTTATATTCTCTTTCCATTCCTTACAGATTTTACAGTGCGGCGCATAGAATTAATCGAATCACTCTAGAGCACTTCACATCAGCTATATAAAGCAACCCCCCACACATATATTTACACACACACACATAAACACACACAATGGGCAAGGACTACTATAAGACTTTAGGCATAACAAAAACTGCCACCGATGATGAGATCAAAAAGGCCTATAGAAAATTGGCGTTACGTTATCATCCTGATAAAAATAAAGCGGCCAATGCTGAAGAGAAATTCAAAGAGGTCGCCGAAGCATATGAAGTACTCTCCGATAAAAACAAACGTGAGCTCTATGACAAGTACGGCGAGGATGGACTGAAGAGTGGAGGTAGTTAGTAGAACTAGTTCAATTGTGTGATCAAATCAACTACGGATGCTACAAGCTCCAACTAAATTATTATTCTTTATCTTACCTATCTCCTATCTATCTTTCTAGGCGCTCGTAATGGCGGCGGTGGAGGCAATAATACATTTACATATCAGTTCCATGGCGATCCCCGGGAAACATTCGCACAGTTCTTTGGCAATAGCAATCCGTTCTCATCGTTCTTCGATATGAACGATAATCTGTTCGATAAGAATGTGTTCGATTTGGGTACAGAGACCGATTTCTTCTCATCGCCATTTGGTGGTCCGGGCTCAAGGCATGGCCTAGGCAGCGCCTTCAGGTAGTCTAAGTCTCTCGCTCACGATATATGTAGTCAAAACTATTGCTAATTTGTTGTAGGCCCTCTTTTAGATCACACTCCTTCAATGTGCACACCCCCTTCAAAAAGGAACAGGATCCGCCCGTTGAGCATGATCTCTACGTGACGCTGGAGGAGATCTATCATGGCTGTGTTAAGAAAATGAAAATCTCACGTCTTGTCATCCAGCGCGATGGTAGCTCGAAAAAGGAGGATAAAATTCTGCAAATATCTATTAAACCCGGCTGGAAATCGGGCACCAAAGTCACGTTCCAGAAGGAGGGCGACCAGGTGCCCGGCAAAATACCATCGGATATTGTGTTCATCATCAGGGATAAGCCACATGCCATGTTCAAGCGAGAGGGCAGTGATTTGCGATATACGGCGAGGCTGACACTCAAGCAGGTGAGTGCGAAAGATGATAGGGAGAATAGTAGAGCAGTAGAACTGAAGAACAGTAGGACAGTAGAGGGGAGCCAGAGATCAGTAGAAGAACGGAGCAAGACAATAGATCAACAAGTAGAAGTCACAGTTGAAGAAGAACTATAGATGATACAGTAGAAGTAGAACAGTAGGCGAGTGGAACAGGAGAACGGTAGAACAGGAGACGATTGGAAAAAGAGATCAGTAGGAGAGTGGAACAAGGGTATAGCAGAAACGTAAGAGAGTGGAACAGGAGATCAGTAGAGCAGTAGAAGAGTGGAACAAGAGATCTGTCGAGCAGGAGAACATTTAAACAAGTAGAACAGTAGAGTAGAAGATTAGAAATATATTGTGATATAAGATGCCATCATTATAAAACATTTTAGCATTCATGGAATCTATTATAGGGTGCTTTACTTAAGTTTGTTAAACACTACTCTATAATGCCACAATGTGAACATTAGTTTAGTCTAAAGTAACCAAGTGAATTTCATTGTTTAGTATAAAAGTGAATAGGAAAATATATTCAAATACTTTTTTTATGATCTGTGATCTGTAGCAGATCAAAGGCATATAAACGTATCATCTTGGATACCCAAGCATCTTAGATGATCATAATCGGTTATGTCTTACGCCTAGCTCTTGAAATACTCGAGATACAATCATTTAAATAGACAAGTGAAAGACAAAAATATAAAATAGACAGATCGTAAGTAAACCTACTTTAATGGGATGACTGATGGCAGTCTAGATCTAAAGGCCCCGGGGATTTGTATTGCCAAAAAAAAAAAAAAAAAAAAAAGATAATAATTATAGTTTTATGTGCACTTGAAATTAAATTCCCTCAATATTTCACTTCTTAGAAGTGCTAAAAAGTTTATTTAAATTTTTCCACTTAGAAGGTCAAAGTTTTTTATTTGAGCTCGGCCATAAAGCGCATTGCTCATGTTCATGTTAGTTGGCCAAAAGCAAGTCAAGTCAACTACCAAATCCAGTGCTAGCAGTCATAATTGAAGATATTACCAAATGCCGTCATGCAATCATAATTAAACGCGAGCCGCACGTAAAAACCGTGTCAAATATTTCTAAATAGAAATCGCAAAATGACACTTTTAATAGCTAAAGCTGCGATTCGGCCAAAAGCAGGCAAACATAATTTATATAGATTTGATGAAAAGCTGAAAAATCATTTCCATGTTGGGCAGAATGGAGAACCCCAAAAATATTTACTAAATTTGTCGCACTAACAAGCAATAAAATGTTAAAAATGTCAACAACTTGGAGAGCAACTATTTAATCTAGTTAATGCAATTAACAATTTTAACATGACTGCGCAGTGCTCAGCGTGTTAGTGGAAGTATGGGGCTTCAGCTAGTTTTTTCTACTATTTTTTTCAATGATTAAAGAATGATTTTTTTTCCTAAATAAATAAATATATATATTTTTTTATATTTTTGGTTCTGCTTGCCTTTTTTTTGGGCTTCAACGCAGTTGGCTGTGTAAAAATTTAACACCTCAGCTGCAGCGTCAACTGGCGAGTCGATTATATATATGTGTATGTATGTATATGTAGAGCTATACAAACATACAAGCATATAGTATAAATATATATTGAGTGTGCGTACGTGTTGGCTTGACCAACTGCTGTGCCCGCCTAATTGAAACTTGACCATGTTGACCAAATTTGACAGCCAGTTAGCCAGCCTGGCAGCCAGTTTGATCGCGTCGCTTGCGTTTATGGTAAATTTGCCATAACCATAACGCGCTTTATTCATTATAATTTGATTTAGGCGCTGGCCGGGGCTTTAATTGGGCGCCATACTGTGAGAACTCGGCCTGAGGACCGTATCATATCTTATATATTGCAATAACGCCAGACCTAAATGGCTGACAGACAACCATAAGCTACAGTTAAGGGTCGTAATATGTCGTTATCAATGGATTTTATGTTTCGTTATTATATTTTTGTTAGAGTGTAGCTTAAGACTTGTCTATATATAAATGGTAACACACATTCCGTTTTTTTGGGTGTAATCCTAGATATAAAACAAGTGAGATTTTTGTCTGGTAAACTTCATGTTAAATGATACGATTTTGACAATATCTTTATAAATTTGCTTAGTTAAAAATATTCTTGTGGGTGTGATAATGCTTGACTTTGATTTACTTCATATTTTGTTGTAAGTTTAATATTTACAACTATCGTTAACCTAGTCATAGTTCACATTCATAGAACTTAACCTCTTCTAATTTTTTGACTTTTCGTCAAAAAAGATCTGCGAGTCTCTCACTCTCTATCTCTCTGTTTCATTCTCTCTTTCACTCTCTGTCTTTCACTCTCCCTCTAACCACCTCTCTCTCTCTCTCTCTCTCTCTCTCTCTCCCTCTGTCTCATTCACCCTCGCTCTTTTTTTATTGGCTGTCTCCCTCAGCATCATTCTCTTACTATGTATATTCGCTTCTGCCCATCGGCCTTCTCCAAACATTCTCAGCTTGTGAGTCACACTTTGTTCTTATCTCATTATATCATTTTTAGATCGGCTGTAAAACAAGTTTTTAATGATATAAATTATAATAATAAATAAAAATTTAAATTTATTCCAAAAAAGGAAGTTAACATAAAATACTTTCCTCACATTTTCTAACTATTCCTCCCATCTTTCATATACTCATTTATGCAAAAGAAGTTTAATAATTGACATATATATATATATATATTTTTTTTTTTTTTTCAATTTAAATTTTAATTCGGCTTACAAAAGTGCGCCGTAAAGCAATTAAAGCACCATATAAGTACTTCACATAATTGGCCTCAGCAATATTGAATTTTTGTATTTTTTTTGCTGCTGCTGCTGCTGCTGCGGCTGTTGTTTGCTTTTGTTGGGCATTAAATTTAATATCGGCCATAAATTACATCATCGTTTACGATAAAATATCACAACAAAAGAGGCAAACAATTTTTAGATGACATTTAATATTTGAGTGAATCACAGCTGAAATGGGTTCATCTAAATATGAATGCACTCTCTCATGGCACTGACCTACAGCATATAATTGAAATAATAGAAATATTTGATAGACTTCTATATAGATCTGAGCATATGTGTATGTATTGCTATATATATGTGTCTGTGTATATATGTCTGTGTATACAGAGTCGTGAATTTTAGATGGAATGCAAATTCAACGGCTTAATGGAAATAATAAAAATAGAAATGGAGAAAAAGCTATGAACGACTGCGCAATGCTCGCTCAATGGGGGAACAAATTTTTAGGAGTTGATAGAGTGGATTTAGGGCATTAAATAAGATTGCAAAATAGGTTACAATTTTATATTAATAATATTAAGTTACGAATTTAAGGTATTAAAGAAGCATAAAATATTAATTTTTTTTAATTTTATTTTTTTTAAATCATACATATTTAAAATATTAAAAATTAGGTCAAAATATTTGTTTTCAATAAAACAATTAAATAAAAAAAAAAAAAAAAATAAACCGAAATACCCTATTTAAATTTTTTAGCGAGTATAGACATGTCAGCGAGTCATAATCGCATCATACTTAAACTATCAATTAAAATAAATAGTACTACAAAGAACAAACAAAATATCAGACAAAACTAATATACCCCCTTAAACCCCTTTCAAGAGCGCATAAAAACAAAAATGTTGACGCTTTGAGTGTTTGCGTCAGCATTTCGCGAATGCTGCAGCAACCCTAAAAATTGATGAATGCCAAACAACAATTGAACGTTGGCCATCCTCACCGTCTCACTGTCCTCTCGGTCCTCGCTGTCCTCTGTAACTGATGGCCAGACATCAGTAATATTTTTGTTGTCGTTTGTGCCGTTGTTGTTTGAAATGTTCACTGGCCATTGTCAATTTCGGGCTGGAGAACTTTTCGACTGCATAGAATTGGTGGCTCAATACAAAAAGCATTCCGTCGGCTTCGTTTGCATTTTGATGACAGTCGTCAGCGTCCTTCACATTGTCAATCTATACGAAAAAATAAAGAAAACATTGAAAAACCAGAAAAAAATGCAAAAAAAAAAAAATCAAAAAAAAAAAAAAATCAAAATAGAACAAGCAAATGCTTTATGACATGCTATTGAAACGTCGTTGATTTGTTTTTCAAACACTTTTGCAATTTATTTTGCAGTCGTAATTGTCTGGGCCAAGTTGCGAAATACTGGAGT